GAGGGAATCTGGGGAGGGCAAGTTCTTGAGGGGACAGACACACACACACAACAACACTACACAACTTTCCCCCGTACGAGCAGCAAAACAGGCAGCCCGCATCCCTGCGCCCCTCACCGCGGCGTCGGGGCGGCGGCGAAGCCGTTCCCCCCTCGGGCTGCGGACGATGGCGGAGCGGGGTTGGGGGGGGGGACGGACGACGACACACGGTACAGAGACAGACAGACAGACAGAGGGTTTCCTACCTTCCTGCGTGGCGACAGGGCTATGTGTCCATGTCGCTCGGCGGAGCGGGGCCGGAGCCGGGGGGAGCGGAGCCGGGATGGGGAGCGGGGCAGGCGGCGGGGCGCCCGCTCCGGGCTGGCTGGGGCCGGTAAGGGCGGGCGTTGCGGAGCCGTCGGGGCTCCATTGGAGCAAGGCGCTGCCAATCTTACCGCCGCCGCCCCGGGACGCTTCCTGTCTGCCAGCCGCTCCCCCCCGTCGGGGGGACCCGTTACGGATCCCCGGGATGCGACCTTCCCTCCTCGGTGCGGAGTGTGACCCCGTCCGTGTGTCCCCCCTTCCACCCCCCACCTCCGTACCCCGTGGGCTCGCCATCCTTTTTCTCCCCCCCCCGGTGCACGGTGACACCCCCCCTACACCACACCCCGGGGGTGACAGCTGTCCCCGGTGTCCCCTCGGGGCATGGCCTCCCGCATAGGGGTCTGAGGAGGGATGGGGAAGGTCTCTGTGTCAGGGACTGTAGTGATAGCACGGAGGGTAATGGGTTCACACCAAAAGAAGGGAGATTTACATCAGGTATCAGGAAGAAATTTTTCACTGTGAGGCTGGTGAGACACGGGAACAGGTTGCCCAGAGAAGCTGTGGATGCCCCATCCCTGGAGGTGTTCAAGGCCAGGCTGGATGGGGCTTTGAGCAACCTGGTCTGGTGGGAGGTGTCCCTGCCCATGCCCGGTGATCTTTAAGGTTCCTTCCAACTCTAACCACTCTACGATTCTATGATCTTTAAAGACCTTTCCAAACCAAACCATTCTACCATTCGCCAGCCCCTCTCCCCGCATCCTGGAGGAGTGGAGAGAAGCAGGTCCTGCCCGTGCCTCAGTTACCCTTCCCCCTGGGAGGGGCATTTCTTTGGGGTTTGTTTTTTGTAGTGGTTTCTTTGATGGGGAGGGTGTAAGGTGAAATCTGGCCCCAGGGCTCGTGTACCTGACCTGGAGAAAAGCCTCGTTCCTCCTGCTGGCTTTTTTGGTGCAAGTTTGCATGTCCCTTTTGCACCACCCCTCTATAACCCTATTTTCTTTCCCATGGAGTCAGGTTTGCTTTGCAATTTTATCAGAGTGAAGATTTTCAGGTGAAAAAAAAAAACAAAAAACCACGTTGGAAGTTCTGCAACGGGAAACTGGCTGGTGAAGACCCTCTGGTAACTTTCCCCTCCCCTGGAACCTGGGGCCAAGTGTGGTCTGGGGGTCCCCCCTGGGACATGCTGGAGACCCCAGGTGGTGCCAGCAGGGTCGGTGTTGCTGGAGCTCGGGGGTGGACCCAGCGTTTCCCTCCGCGCTGGGCACAGCGCCCGTGTGGAGATAAGGACCACGTGCCCCGGGTGTGTGCAGCACCCACGCAGCCCCAATTCTGCAACAACTGACCGCTCCACAGCCTGGCAGGAATAAACGGGGTCACAGTCCCCCTGTACAACCCTACAATAACAAACCTATCCTTGCTGGCGTCCTGGCACACCTCTGCAACCCCATAATAACACACCCCTGAGCCATCTCACCTCCCGGCTAACCCTGCAGTAATAAACTGGCATTTTCCTTCATCCCAGCCCTTCCACAGAACTCTACAGGAATGGATGTAAACTCTACAGCTGGGATTGTTCAGCCTGGAGAAGAGAAGGCTCCGGGGAGACCTTATAGTGGCCTTTCAATACCTGAAGGGTGCCTATAGAAGAGCTGGAGAAGGACTCTTTGCCAGGAGGTGTAATGATAGGACAAGGGGAAATGGTTTTAAATTGGAAGAAAAAAGATTCAGATTAGATCTCAGGAAGAAATTTTTTACTCTGAGGGTGGTGAGACACTGGAACAGGTTGCCCAGGGAAGTTGTGGATGCCCCGTCCCTGGAGGTGTTCAAGGCCAGGCTGGATGGGGCTTTGAGCAACTTGGTCTAGTGGGAGGTGTCCCTGCCCATGGCAGGGGGGTTGGAACTCGATGATCTTTGAGGTCCCTTCCAACCCTAACCATTCTATGATTCTATGATTTTGGGAGATGTGGAGGCCACGTGTGAAGGTGACCAGCCCAACACCCGCATCGTCCCCCGGCCACGCTGCGGGTGTTGCTCTCAGCTGTGGTTGGGGCTTGGTGCCTGCATCACCCAAGGAATAGCCCAGCATGGCACATCTGCTTGTGGCCTGGGTTGCTGCCTCACCAGCCACATGTGGCCGGGTCCATCCCGCCTGCACTACAAGAGCTGGGGCCGTGCCAGGGGCTGGGGATGTCCCTCCCCGCGTCAGTACCGTGTTGGCCTCTCAGGTGCTTTGCAGGAGGTTGTCTGGTCCCACCAGCCCGCTCACATCTGCCCTGAGCCAGCAGCTCACATTGATTTGGGGACCCTGGGGACGTAGGAGGCGATGGTCCTGAGCAGAGAGAAGTTTTCTCCACCCGGCTCCTCAACATTCCGCCTCCCCACAGCACTCCACAGTCCGCGTGGGCTGGGGGGACGACACCGAGCATCTTGCAGGATGGATCATCCCTTCTGGAAGGAGCGGAGCCCGGGCGGGCTGCAGCAAGCATTTGGCCCAGGGTTCTCCCCCGGGAGCAGACCCTGAGCTTCCCCCAGCTCTTCGTGGTGCTCGCCGGGCGCCGGGAGCCGGGCTGCTTGGCGCCAGGGCTGGCGGGGAGCCACGGGCTGCTTTCTCCGCCGCTGCAGCGCTGGAGAGACGAGCCGAGCTGCGGATCCGGGGAATCCCCCAGCTCCGCAGGGCCGGGGCCACCCATGGGGTTGGGAAGCTGCGAGCGGAGCTTGATTGTGAGGGGTCTCGGTGGGGAAGGTTGGAGATGACAGACACCCTGCAGTGGTGCTGGGACAAGGGAGGCGGTGGGTCTCTGGGGCTTGCTGGACCACCAGCTCTGGGCAAAGCCAGCGAGCTGAAGTGTTGGGTGGAAAAGGACTCGGGGGGGAAGGGGGTCTGGCAAGGGCAGTGTGGGGTCTGACAGGTAATCAGGGTGCTTGGGGGGACTGCAGGCACCCTGGAGTCCTCGAGGCAGGACTCTACACCTCCCAGGCACAGGGTGAGCGAGTGTGTCACGCTCTGCAGCTCTGACGTGGCTCTTCCCCTGCTCCATCCTCAGGCTCAGGTGAAGATCATGACCTCCATGCACATGCTGGCTTCTCCATTCTGCTGTAGCACAAACATTTACAAAAGGACACCTCCCACGCTGGCTGCAGCATCCCATGTAGCAGCTGTTCCCCCTCTCAGCACTCTGGAAGGACTGAATTTGGGTACAGTAAGGTCTTCCCTCTCCTCTGAGCAGAGACCACACCAGAGAGGGAACTGCCAGCTCTTGTCCAGGCAGGTCAAGCCTTGGACACACGAGCAGTTGGCTGGGGGTTATACTATGCTATCACAAACCTGTGCAGGACCTGCTGGACCGGGGCCATACAGGCTGTGCATTGCTCTCCCTCACAGCCCAAGGCTTTGCCTGACTCGTTGCCGGTATCTGGTCAAAGGTACCCAGAGCTGTTTGCTGGGAAGGTTCAGCCGCATCCACGAACCAGGCTCCCACTGGTGGGATCTAGCCAGCCTGGGTGGAGAGACTGGGAGGTGTGGAACCAGAAGCTCAAGAGCTGGAGTGGGATGAAGCGAGATGCGTCATGCGGATGTGCAGGTGCAGTGTTATGATAACGAGCCAAGGGACCGGGATGCGGGTCCTCAGCCACGCTGGATCCATCCGCACTTGCTGGATTGCTGCCTGGATGGTGCAAAGACGGATGGAAGAGGCTTGTGGGGACTGGGGATGAGTGCAGCTGGAGGCTGAAGTGTTCTCCCGTGGTTTCTGTGGAAAGGCCACTGCCACAGGATGTGTCCCCTCCAGTGCAGGGCTGGCTGGTGGCATGGAGCCTCTCCTGCCTGTCTAAGGGTGGTCCATGACTACGCAGCCTGTGCATGGATGGTGCTGGGGTAGTTCCAGGGTGCACACAAGCCCCGGGGACCAGTCGCAGTGACTGTCCCTGACATCCCAGAGGTATGGGTGACTGTTCCAGAGGAGCCTGTGCCTGCTGGGTGAGGGACATCACAGGGCAATGGGGCTGTGCTGGTCAGCACCGTCTTATTTTTCCCTGCATGGGACCTGTCCCATGAAGCGTCCTGCTCAGTGTCTTCACTCGCGCTGGCTTGGCGTGTGGCCGGGCTCTGGCTGACGTACCATGGGCACAGCCCTGTTTGAAGTTCAGGCTTGTTGTGTGTTTACCCTGGCCAGCCGGAGGTGTACAGGAAACCAGAGAGCTCTGCTCCCTGGCTGTGGCTTTATTTATTATGGTCACAGCTCTGGCTGCCCACGCTGTGAAAAGAAGGTGGCAAAACCCCTAAGTGCTGCAGTGCGGCTCCAGCCCTGCCAGCCCTGCTCTGCTCTGATTCCTACTGATGTCCTGTGGCTGACAGAAGTCCTGTCCTACAGAAGGATGGTGGGATGCTCAGCGCCACTTGATGCTCATCCTGTCCGAGAGCAGGGTGGCTTGTCCCAGATGTGTCCAGCCACACCATGCCAGAAGAAATCACTGATGGACTGCCAGACCAATGCCACACTTCAAGCACTGGGACCTGGATGTCCCAGTTTGGTTGCATCTTCCCTGTCTCTTCACCTCTGCTCTGCAAAACAGCAATGAGCATTGCCCTAGGTCTCTGTATCCACATCCCTGCTCCAGGGTTTTGTCTTCATCCATCTCTGTCACCCCAGGAAAGGTGGTGCAGGGGACACAGCCCAGCTGCCACCCCAATGTGCAGAGCCTGGGGCTCACCTGCTCTTTGGGCTTGTGGGACCCCAAGTTGTTCATTGCCCATGGCCAGCAGCTTCACACCGTCTGCTCCAGCCCTGCTGCCATGGCAGGTCATCGTCCTGGAGAGGACACCATGGTGGTGACCATGGTTGCTTCAAGGATGGAGCTTAAGGATTGGAGGCTGCTGAGGACAGGGAATGTCTCCCTGTGGGACTGGGGACAGGCATCCAGATGGAGACTTGAGCCACTCCAGCTGTTCCCCAAAGCCACGCACTGCAAGCACCCGGGTGAGAGCTTGCGAAGTACTGCACGCTGCAAGACACGGGCAAACTCACAGCTGAAGAAGTGAAGCAGAGAGAGGAGACATTATAC